TTATTCTCAAAGAATCGTTACATCCCCTTTCAAAATGAACAACCTCTTCCTCTGACGTTCTTCCTCCTTACAACGCAAAGAAGACACAAACCTCTCCAGATAAAGGAATCTGCGTATCTCAAGACCCAATACCGATAAACGCAACGTTTATTAAAAATACCTCGAACGATAATCATTTCCAGCCCGATCTTTAACCCGTCAACCCCTGAAGCACTCATCCCTCCGATATGGGAGACGTTTGACGTTCGACGACCATGAATATCGATCCAGAAGGTGTCTGTAAAACGAGCTAAAAATGGAGACAGGATGGGTTGCCTTTATGGTTGATCCGCGACGTTCCTTCCAGACGATTTCTCCGTTACGTTGTTTTGAATAAACGTGCGCGGAATCGGTTCGCGTAACGCTTACGAGGAGCACGCGATACGTCGGAGTCGGCTGCATTCTCATGGAAATTTTCAACGATCCTTGTACACGTTGGTCAGGGTTGCACGGAGGGATGCTGCGAGGGTCGGGGGGCGAGCCGGAATGGGGTGCAGCGTAATTTATTGCGGGCAATATTACCCAGCTTCGTTCCATAGGGTGGGGCGAGCCTCGTAACCACTCACGAGAAAGTATTTTATGATGGGCCAGAATCGCCTAAGTCCTTGTGCTTCTTTCGTCCAAGAATTTAAACAAATCGGCCCTTGATTGGAGGACGCTGCAGGCTTGAAGGGCGCGTGACCATCGTGGGAGTTAGTGGAAGACATAAATTCGAGGAGAAAAGTTTTAATCATTCCATAGCAGCTGCCTTACTGTTAGGTGATTTGTGAAATTATTCGTTGATGAAGTCTGCGAGGGGCGGGTTTTATGAGGGTGGTACTTTTTTTTCTGGCCGAGGAAGACGATTTGCGACGTGTCTGGAATTAATTCCAAAAGAATACTATTATGTAGATACGTACAAGTACACTTCTATATCTCAGTCTATTAAAGATATTTGTTTAAATTAAATAATAGGTTCGTTGTTTTCAGAAAAATGTTTCATTATAAACATGTACACGGGTAAACTTTGTACTTGTATACATATAATGAAAAATTTATTTGGAAACATGAAACCTATCGTTTAATTTAGACAAATTTCATCGATAAACAGAGAGGTACGAATATTTATGGGACAAACTGTATAAGATATAAGAAATATAAAACTGTAGAAGCTCGCTCAACTGTAGGACCTCAAGAACCATTCATCCCTACCTCGGTCGATTAACATACATTTTATTAGCGCACCGTGTCAAACAGGGCTTATAAATCATTCCAACGTTTTGCATCGAGTCGAAGCGTATAATAAATAAGCAGCCCCTCCGAAGAAGCGTTCGCGAGTAATAGTCCGGTCGTTAGACTCGCCAGGGATGATCGATTCGTTCGCTTAATGCGTCGTTTCTCCTGTATTCCATTTCCCAGGCAAGATTGGATGAGGAACAACGTAGTTGCGTCTCGACGCGAGTTACTAGTGGATTTAAGTAAATTGGATCACACGGACGAGCGTTTTTAATAATAGAAAATCCATTTCGCCGCGTCGCGGACGTACATACATACACATATATATATATATATATATTTGTTTGCCCGTGCTTCGAGCTCGACTGTTTCGGTATAGCACTCTTCGCTGACGGTTCTTGCTTTTAAATAAATCAGTTCGCGCAGAGGTCGTCGAAAACGCGCGAAGCCCCGATCGACCACTCGAACCCAACCCTTTTGGTAACGACGTAGGTGGAACCCTCCAAGCGACGGGTTCGAATTCGATTTAATTAAATTCGACGAGTATTCATTAATTTTCCCACTCGCCACCTCGAGTGGACGACGATATGCTGGGTCTAACGCGCGAGTGACCTACTGCGGGGAACTGGACATACAGGAACCATGAGTACTCGTGTGGACAGGGCTGGTTTTGGCCTGATTGGTTTTATTCGAACGTTACAGCTATCTTTATTATTGTTGTAGTTCTCAAAAGTGCAAATCTCACTAAGGAGTGGATTCAGCAGGGACCTCGTCGATCTTCGTGTTCTTTATTATTTATTCAATTGGTCCCTAAATCGAAATTCCGGAAGATCTATACGCGGAGAACGAGCACTTGTACGATGCGCACATCTAACAGAATTTTTAAAAACAATTTATACAACATGTACGTAAAATTGACAATAAAAATTCGCAAATAATTCAATAGACTCCCAATTATACTATCCCAACCATTGTTTAAGACTTACCAGAATGCAAAAATGCCTGCCAACCGAGAGGGCCAAATAAATCATAAATATATATGAACTTTAAAAATTATTCTTCGTCCCCATTCCAGCACTACTCTTTGGAATCCCATTATGCCAAGGTGGTTGAGCCATTCTAACCGGTGTCGCGCTACATTGCTCGACTGCTGCACAGCGGCGGAGGAGGAGAAACCTGGTTTCTTCGTGGAAGTTTCCTTCAATTTATACGAGAATCTCCGGTTTCATTTACTTCGTTGGAACACCTCGGGGCTGTGCCCTGCGCACCCATTAGCCCGGCCCTTTCGACGGGCGGTGGATTTAAATAAATTGGTTGCATCGTCGCGACGCCCCCGCAATACGTTCTGAATAATGGAGGAGCGGGTCCGCGCATAAATCCCGAGCTTGTTCAGCACGCTGGACGATCCCTGGACGAACACGGATAAACCGTGACCCCGTCTTATCGGTGAAAGACATTTGCTCTCGTTTCCTCTCGTATCAATCCTCTTCTCCCCGGCTTCTCGACGCTTTCATCATCGTGAAACACTGAGGGAGAAGAGTACGAGATACGACGAACTATAAATCGAATCGAATGGGGAAACCATTTTGATCCCCGGTACAAAAGCCATCGAAGAAAATAAAGAACACGAGTGGAGGAGAGCCAATAATTTGGAATTTTATGAAATTTTCGAGATCGACTCCTTCCAGAATACACTTCTCCACTTCATTCTCCACCCTTTTTTGCTTTACGACTATTTTACAAGTACATCACGCTGACGAGTATTCTACTATGTATGAGTCGTAAATAGTTTTGGGTGCCTCTGAATTTCTCTGAGGGAATGTTCTCCACACTTTCTATAAGTTCGACACAGTTTTTCTGTGGAGGACAGAATTTTATTCTACCACCCAAAGCTCAATATTTTACTAGTACAGTAAGTAACTCAATTGCTATCAATTATTAACGCTTGCTAATAAGTTTCTTTCGAATTCAGATTTCAATTCCCGTGATTAATTCTATAAATCCCTCATCGCAATATTCTTAACCATTTGATAGAACTGCTTATCCGAGTCTGTAACAATACTCCTCATATCCACACTCATACGTCCCCCATTCGTACGAATAGTGAATTTCATTACCGGTTGCGCGAGCCGTAATTATGCGTTCTTGATTAGAGAAGAAAGTTGGGAACAGGCGAGATCAGTGGAACGGGTCTGTATGTGGTCAGACGTCGAGCACCCGTAACCAGGAGCATTTTCTAGCGAATTTGAAATACCCCATTCTTTCTGCTCGAGTGGAACACGAGAACGCGTGGCACGCTGTGAAACGGCATATCGGGAGACCCAATTATCGCGACCACACCTGATGCTTTTGTCGATTTTAGCGGGGAGTGACAGAGAAAGGAACTATTTGCTTTGGGTAAGAATTCTTTTTCCTTGGTATGAACTGGATTTCATACAGATTGAGAATTTGGGGTTTCCATGCAAAAAAGGGAGGCGGTGAGTAAATAATTTCCCGCTGGTGGGACACTTCGTTCGAAGGGAATCGAGCTTTCCTCCCTGGCAATTAGTGAGAGGACTAAACACAAACCGAGTCACCTGCCCTTTATCTCTCTTTCCTCCCCCTTCTCGATGCTGTCCTGAGATCGTCGATAATTAATTACCGAACCTCCGGGTTAATCCACGGATGCACCTGGTAGGATTATCCCGTGGCCGTGTTCATCGTCTCCTCCCACGGTTTTAGAATGGTCTTTTCGCCCCCAACCGAGGCACTCGTACTTCACTGGAGATAATGGCTCATCGCCAACAATGGGTGGGGAAGATAGGGGTTGGAAGGTTAAGAGGTTCGGTGGAAGGAACCGAGATACATATGTATTTACGTTCTGTATATACGTGCTAGAGCTCGAGTTGGAAAAGGGGCGACGTGAACCAGCCAATTAGGGATCGTGAACCACGATTGACGAGACTTTTGTATTTTTGACGGGGTTGTTTACCATTCTGAGGTGTTTGGCGATTGAAAGAAAAATTGTGCGGGTTGATCGGATGATTAATAAGTTTATAGAAGTTTTATATGCAAGGGTAGGTTGACTGAAATGGATTAAAGTTGGAGATAAGGTGGATCTGGACGGGTTAAGAGGCGATCTCTGCTTCCCGTCATTAAACTTCCAAACATTATCATCGAAAAGCGACAGCGATACGCGCAAATCCGGAAGATTTCGAACTCCCAGTAGGAAACCGCCAAGTTTTCGGGGCGATTCTTTTTACGAGCCGGAGAGTTACCGTTAGTATACCCTGGATACCCCATCGGTTTCCTTTACAGACCCCCCTCTACTCCGTTCGCAACTTCCTCGAAATACTCGAGATGTAATCGGAGAAGCTTCAAGATACTGAATGCAGCTCTTCATATCGATCACGTTCTTTTCGCCTTCATTTAGTTCGGTCCTCTATTTCTACTTAATTAATCGCCGATAAGACGAGCCTTTGTAATGTATTCAGAATGCATTTTTTAGAAATTATACTCTGCTGAATAACTCAGCTTCGATAAAAGCTCTGTTCTTAATTAGTTTCACAGGGTATTTTTTTAAATGAACTATGTGCTCTATGTATGCTTTAAATTTGAAGGATAAGGTTTTCTTTTCGTTGTAAATGTTCCAAATGCCTACTTGGAAGGGGAGAAAACCACCCTGTCGAAGGAAACTTAGAAATTTGGTGAAATTCTTTCCCTTGTCCCCGATTTAGTATAAAGAATACCAATGAAAGAGTACTTACCTCGATTCTGAAGGTCCAGCCCTCGAGGCTGAGCAGCTTGAGGGTGGTGTTCCTGGCGAGGGCGTGACAGAGTAATCGCGAGGGATGATCGTCGAGGGCCAGTCGCGGACTGGCGAGATCCAGGAGCTGCAGACAGGGCGCCTCCGTCAACGCCAGGACCAATGGCATCACGTCCGCTGGCCTGGATGCTCCTGCAGCTCTCAGAGCATCCAAATTGCGCGCCCTTCTGATGGTCTCTCCCAGGCAGCCCGCATCCAATCCGACGAGCAAACACTTGGACACGTTCAGGGACCTCAGCTTGCAGTTCGGCTCTCTGAGGGATCGGGGGCAAACAAGAATCGATTAGTTGGATGGCCACGCGGGTTGGAACTGCTTAGTTGGGCGCGACGATTTGATTTCCGCGGCTGGCAGACGTCAAACTTGCCAGACGGAGATCTAATTGGGTTTTAGAAGTTTACGTGTGTAGAATAGGAGTGGACTACCTTCAGATCGGTGGATCTCCTTTGGACGCGGGATATTTTCACTTGGAAGAGCAGAGGGCGAAGAGGAGAGGGAGATATAAATTTAAATAGGGACCATTTTGGTATATTTCGGATTTTCAAAGCGATCCTACCTCAAGGAATAGGACTTTTGTTCACAATTTGAAACTCACATTAGTGGAACACACCAATGTTAAAGCTCCTCTCTAGGTAAAACCGCTATCTTGACTAAAAATTTACTTCAAGAAATACCTGATTCTCGTGTAAATAAATAATCAAGGGAACCCTTTTAAAGAACACTTTGGTGCAGTCCCAAAGATTTCCTGGCACCGCTAATTTCGCGAGCCCCGTCAACAGAGACGGCAAATTAGCATAGGTAAAGTACACCAATAACGGGAGTGGGCCGTCGCCGTAATGGATAGCCTTCGAGCACGACGAAACGAGCCGGGGCTCCCGGGCGCAGATTTCCAATTTCCCTTCAATTTCTCGCAGATCCCACCACGACAGCGACGCGACATACTTGGCGTAATGCGACGAACGCAACCAATTTTCCTAAAGTACGGCGTACAAGGTAAACAGAGGGATCGATACAATCCCCGCGAACATCTTCTCGCCTCCTTCCAGGCTTGTCCGTTCGTAACGAGATGGGAACACGGGAAGAAAGTGTACGATGTGTACACTTCGGTCTTCGGAGGCCTGATTAATCGAATAGATCGGCTTTTAATTAGGGACGGTCTCGTTGATCCTGGAAGGGGATGAAGAACTTGTGGCCTCGGTGGGCAGAAACTTTTCTGTTTTTGCGTGGTTGAAATGTTCCGTTTTAGAAATTTAACGCTAAACCTACCGACGTTCGTTTGTTGCTATTTCTATCGTGTTGCGAAAAATGACTGGTCATAGAGACACATTTTGCAATTAACTGCAAAAATATTTTACATGTATAACATACGAGACAATACTTTTTTTATATTTACAGTTTATTCATATGACGCTTAGTTTCGACAATAACAATTAAATTTCAGGAAAGAGGTCTTTCAAGTTGTCAATTTTTACCACTGAAACTAAACAACGTATGAATAAACTGTAAATATGAAAACGTTTCGTTTTGTCATTCTCTGTAGGATGATATTTTTTTTAAATTCACACCTCTGCGCCTCTTAGAATTTCCAGCAAAAATCGTCCAGCGGTCAAAGGGTTAATTGGAAACGTTAGCGATACAGTTGCTGTTTGTAGATATTTTCTGAACGATTACCGGTGTAGGTGGTCGTGAAACAGTGAGTTTAATCATTTTAATGTAGAAAACAAGGTCGATGGAATGACGCAGGAGTCTCCCAACGAAAAATGACGACCGGAACAAACGCAATCACGAACAGAGGGTTGCAGAGCTCGCGTTTGAGGGAGGTCGATAGCGACGAGTTGATTATTTGAACAGTCGCTCGTAAATTGAACCGTTCCCTGACAAATCAGATCAAGCGTTAACAGCGTAGCCATTCTTGATTAACGGTTACAATTAACAAACTCCCCGTCCGAGCTAGCGCGCCTTAATACATCAATTCCGTTCGAATCAACGTTGCTCGAAACGAAGTCGGTCGATTGAGAATTTCCATCGCGAAAATTCCGAGGAGGGGCTTTGTCGACGAAAGTAACCGGGGGAAATTCAATTGTCGGGGAGGAACGAGCTATTAGACCAAAAGGACTCCGGTCTTTCTGGAAAAATTTCGATTGGACAGATAGAGGGAGTCATGGAGGTGTTATCTCGAATAGTGACGGAGCTTTGATTACGTTTCTGAATAAATAATGATTCGATAGAAGAGAAGCGTAAGAGTTGAGCTTCCTCTCGAAAAATTATTTGAATTATCCCTTGTTCTAGGATTTCCCATAGAGCGCAATGCGTGGATGTCGTCAAGATCTAAAAGTTGGAATTAATTCGTCGTCGAGGATATCTAAAACACGACGCGACGTGGCGATCCATCGCCTCTCGGGTTCATATCCGCGGGAAACGTACAGCCGAGCGTTTTCTCGACCGTGGGCGCCAATACGCGGCTGAAATGGAGAGAAACGTGGACCGATACGAGCTTTGATTTAGAGTATCGCTTTTATTGGCCGAGTGGCTTATCCGCGCCGTGAGCGGGTCGGGTAAAATGTTTATTTTCGCTCGCGATTCAAAGCACGGCCTCAGGAGGGGGGGGGGAGGGGAAGGGAGGCACGCCATTCGACGGGTATATTTTTACTGGGGATAGATACGTCGAGGGTACTCGAGCGGATTTACTCGTGCTGGATACCATTAAAGGCGCGCCATTAGCTGTACCCCCGGCCAGCGAGCGCTAATAGCCGAGTAAATATCGTCTGGACGCTGGATACCATTAAATCCAGACGATCGGCCCCCTCAACTTGCACCCTGTTAAACGCAGGTACCAGCGTTTGTGTCAAACTTGACGCTAGAGTGGCCAGGAAGTTGTTTTGCTTCCGACTGGGTGTTAAAGAAAGACGGAGCTATCATTGGAGACACAAACTCTTCATTTAGCATGGACACTCTTTGCTATCTTTGAGATGATGCCATGATCCCATGTCCGTGATACAGAAAATCGCTTCAGAAAAGGATTGAATAAATATAATCCCGAGTCTAACTGACCCTAGTATAGTGGATGTGTCGACCCTTTCAAACCTGGCGTCCACAATTGAGACCAGTTTTCCTCGAAACCTATACTATTACGATTTTCTTTTTTATTTGTCTCCGTACCAATATTAGTCCAAGTTAACCCTAAAAATTTAATTATACTAGTACGAGGAGAACAAATAATTCACGTCTGAAAGGATTATTTTTAAAAAGAATGAAAACTAACTAACCCCCCAACCTCATCCCTCCCTTTCAAATTCCCCACTAACAGAGCTCGCCAGAAATTCTGACTAAAATTAAAAGTAACATATCTACCTGCCACGCTATTTTCACGTCCGCGACTCGAAGCTTGCTCGTTCCCAGAACCCCGGAAACAACGTTCCCACAGCGGAGATCTTTACATTCGGGGAAAATGAGCGGAATTTAAACGCGACGGTATCCAGGAGGGAGCTTCCGCGCGATAAAATTGAGATCGTAAGTCAAAAGGCCGCTATTGCGTCCTGGGGTGCTCGAGTTTCGACAGCTTTACTGCCAGACATTTCGCGCCCAGTGCACCGAGTACTCGACACGTGGGCAGAGGGGGTAAGGCGGGGGACATTTTTATCGCGTTAACACGTTTTATCGTTCTCCCGTTTTCTCGCGCCAAGGCCCCGTCGTCCCTAGAACTCGACCAACGGAGATCCATCGCGCCGCGAAATCTTAAAATATCGCTGGATATCCCTCGCTGCTAAATTGTCTCTTCAAGTTTCGACCGTTAGGCTTTAATGCCGACGAATGGTCGCGGGCGAACAGGACCTCTAGGTACGACACTTTTTTGTGGCTTTTAATACCGTTGCTGCAATTATTCGCGGCTGACAGGATTAAGAATCCTCTTCTAAACCGTAACGGAGGCTTAATGGCTGGGAAATTATGGAATTAAAGTAACCGAGGGACCATGAGACCGTCACTGTATCGAGCAAGATTTTTGTCCGTGTGCGAAGAACATTCTTTGGGGGAACTACAGTCAGTCCCATAAATATTCGTACTCTCTATGTCTATTAAAGAAGTTTGTCTAAATTAAACGACAGATATGTACATGAACAAGCTTTCCGCATGTGTATATTTAGAATAAAAAGTTATTTGGAAACAATAAACCTGTTATTTAATTTAAACAAATTTCTCGAGTAAATATAGAGAGTTCCTGACTGTCAAAATATTTTTTTTTTTTTTTTTAGGACCTAAATCATTTTATGTTTAACATTCTTCAGCAATCGAAATATAAATGCATCTTTCAAATATTATCAAATATGTGACAAGCCACGTAATTTTCTCTCGCCATTTAAATCCATGCTTCCCCAGCTTCTATACTAACCTGCGCACACCTCGGAGTCTCAAATTCTTTACCTAAACTTCCCCCTAACTCCTCGAAGAAGCACCCACTAGCCTAATTCTCCTCCTAGACTCGAATCTTCAACTTTCGGGCACATCGAGGGGTTCCCTGAAGGCAAGCGCGTAATTCAGCACCCCTAAACTTCGAGGCATCGTGTTTCGGCGCGTGAATCATGTTCGGGGAAGACATTCCGCGGAGGAAGCTCCACGGAACGCTTCGTCCGAAAGACAATAAGTAGACGCATTACAGAATTTCCAACTCGTATCGCGTTACCGTCTGAAGCCTGCAGAGGGAAAATAGAAGTCGATGGAAACAGGTAGCCATTGTATCGCGTAACGAGTTAATTCCACTGCTCGGGAGCATCTCCTAGTTCCCTTCCAACTGCTCTCAAAGAAGATTGTCCAAAGTTCCGGGCACGGACCGACTATAACCCGAGGTAGTTCGGATGCTTAACGACGTTAACTGCTCCTGCGTTTCCTACGATACTTTTCCACTTTCCTCTTTGTTCTCGTCTCGGTGGCTTCGATTCCGAACTTCATGCAAATCCTCGTCGACCGTGCTCGAGTTAGTTCGTGTAAACGCCGGAAAGTTCGATGGGTGCTTCGATACGCCGAAAATACGAATTCGGAAAAGGTTCGAAGCTTCGAACTCTGGGAGCGCGGTACGGTGGTATCGATACTATGCTGGAACGTCGCTGGAAAATCGGTAGGCTTCCAACGCGAGGTTTAATTACAAAGTTTCGATCGACGCGGACGCGTTAGGACGACTGGAGTTGGATTCTGGAACAGTGGTCTCTGGGGGAGCAAACCTGAGAAAGGACGACGTCGATCCGCGACCTAGTGAGGGTCTATTGATGTTGAGGACATGGAAGATATCGAAGTTTCGGATTGAAAATGACACGGATCAGCTAGGCATTTTTTAATGGTAGGGGATGGAGGTGGTGACTTTAAGGTTGGAGAAATCTAGACCTAACCCAGATCAAACCTAAATGTGTTAAGCATTTTTTGACGTTATTAAGTGGGGGTGTTTGAGTTGTAAATATTCTGGTTTTTCGGAATTTCCCCTTAGATCGCTGGACTATCCCTTTGAGAAACCACTACAGAAATTTCTACAACCTACCACACCCTAAATAAATCCACACGCAAACGTTAAAAATTGATCCAACCCTCGCGTCTTCAAAACATTTAGAAAATCACCCTTCATCGAGCGCTCCAGATTATTCCACGGACCTTGACTCCCGAGTCCTCTCTCTCCCCCGGATGCCAGGCGCGTTTCTCTTCGCGTCCAGGTCGCTTTGCTTTTGTTTCCCGGCGTTCCAGCGAATCGAAAAACGCGGCTGGCGCGGAGATACGCGTACGAATAGCGACAGTGATGTTTTTAATTAAAAACACGGGAGCCGGACCCAGGGTGGGTGACGCGAGTAAATTGGAGCTCCCCCAGGGAAAAATATTCCCTGAGATTATTTCTCCGCGCTCGGCTGATTCGCGTGTCGGCGCGATTCGTTTGCTTCCTTCGTCGCCGTCGCGTTTGCTCGTTAATTTCTACCCTGTGCTTAAGCCGGATCCCGAAAATATGTTCCTATTAAACTCGGCGACGCTCGCGGCTGGACACGCAGCCGGAAGTAATCCAACCGTGCGTACTTTGCGAACGAACCTTAAAGAGGTAACATAATATTTCTCCTATGCTGCGCTTTTCACGTGTCGAATGAAACTGGGGGGAAAGTCGGATGATATGTAGTTTCTAATTCTTTAACAGAGGATTGCGTGTAGATAGAGATTGCTTTGATGTTTGCTTTGATGGATGCTAATGAAGGTCTAATATTTAGGGGTGGAAGAATTCATTTCGAATTTTTTAGGAATATTTGTGAGTGGTTTGTTGGGGTGTGGGAATTTGTTGAAGAAGGAACGATGACTCTCACTGGAGGACATATTCAATGTATAGTCTTACAACCAAATTTTTGTTCGCAGTTTCATTATGCATTTGCGACAAAACTGCTCGCTAAATAAAATAATGCATTCTGGGGTGGACGCGAAAGGGTTAATTAAAATGTGGAGTAAGGGACGGAGTGGAGCGTCGGAATTTCGAAAATGGCCCTCTATCGGGGGTCGTTACGAGTTCGAATGAAAAGCTGAGTAAACAAAGAATGCCAACAGAATGCGAGGACAGGGTGGAGGTTGTTTCTCGCGTTCAGGGTAACCCCCATGTCGAGGTCTGTCCTGTAAACGAAGAAACAATAGAGCGTGGCGGTGAGCTACAGCCGGTCGAGTTTCCGGTTTCAACGCGCGACGCATCGCACCACAGCTCGCGCTCGTAAACGGATTCATAAAGGCGGAAGTGCCTCCTTTCTTCCCGCCTTTTCATCAAGCCGACGGTACAAATGATCCCGAGTCGCGGCCACGTCGCGCAACCGAGCGAAAGCACGAATTCCTGTAATACTTTTTACGGCGAGCGTCGCGCTCCCAGCTGTTCCGTCGTTCCCCTCTTTCGCTTTATAGTCGCGTCGCACTACGCGTCAGAAATACGTAAACCTAACCAGACCCAAACTAGAAATTGCAGACTTGATTTATTATCGACATGAATTCATTGGTACTGGGCCCTCAAAGTCCGCGAATAGCAAAAATAGAGCACACCTAACCGAGATCAACTGATTCGTTATTTGCAACTTGATAAATGACAGCAGTAATAATAACAGCAAGCATCTACATTATGCGAGATATAATACATACAACAACTCATCGCTTATTCATGCGCGTATTTAGTTAACGTGTTTGAACAACCGAGATGATAATACAGTAGAATAAAGCAGATGTTTTGGACCACAGAATGCGGAATCGTACGAAATATACGTCAACTCTTGCAGCCTGAAATGCAAATGCTTGCAAATAACGCGGGTCGCATATTAATGAGGCGCGAGGGGGTGAAAATAAAATATAAAAAAAAAAACGCGCGGGGAAGAACAGCGAGTGTTTTCTATTATACGGAAGCTAATTTTAATTTAATTAGCCAAGATTTAACTTTTCACTTAAGCACCCCCAACTCATAAACAAACACTTCGTGGTCTCTTAAAAAAAAAAAGAGTCCATTGGAGAGCTTGAAAAAGCTTGAAAAACATTCTCGTTATTCCTTCTACGGACTTTAACGTGTATAAAACAACTAGCCGCGTGAGCGCCCACAGCACTAAAATGTCCCGAACCGGAGCTCACGAACTCGTCAAATTATTATTCGTTAGAGTAGAGAACGTACACGCGCGACACGGTTTCTCTCGGTCTGTGTTCCCAACGGATTTCGGAGGCGGTGACTGGCCAGGGAAATAATTAGCGCTCGAGGAGAACGATCCGTTGGTTTCCCGCGCGCCAAACACGTGGAAATTAGGAAAACAGAGGCGAACGCAAACGTCGAGCCAAGTCAAAGCTTTGGATTAAAAAGCGCTAGACGCGCGGCGGCGGTTTCCCGACATGCCCGATGTTTGAGGAACGTTTGGCATTCGTTTAAAGCATTGGCCAACGAAAACTGTCGGTGGCGAGATTATTCGACGCGGTCGCGCCACGGAATTCTCGCGTAAAACACGTCCACCCTCCACGTTACGCGTCGTAATACGAGGGAGCGATGGAATTCCATTATGAGCCCGCGTAATGGGAAAACGAAGGCTGTGCCGTGAAGAGAAAAGGGTTGTCCGCGTGCGCCGTGGACAATAAACGGTTTCCAGGTGACGTGACGGGCAGGTGGGGCTTGGAATTAACGCGTTGACGATGAATGCCACGCGCGACAGAATTTTTATTTCAAATAAATACGCGAGCTTAGAGGCAGACTTGTGGTGTCGGAGTAACGACCCTTTGATGCGATTTGTGATACGTTAGGATAGGACTCGTTGGTATGAAGCACGTAATGGGAGAGTATAAATATGAGACGAGAACCACGTGACGCTAACTAAAATCTAAGCATGGGCAACTCGCGAGCAGCGGAGTTGACGAAGAGCATGGCTCACGAGCAGTCAGTTGCCCATCCCTGAACTGAACAGGAATAAAATCGTATCAATGATTCTCCTACCAGAAAATGAGATGAAACGTTGCCAACATAGACTGAAAGTAAAATATGACGAAAAGTGTGTTCGAATAAAGAACGTCTCGAGTACCCGCGTATACTATTGATTTCCCCCGCGCGTTTAAAGGCTTCCCCGCTCGCCTGATTGTTCCTGCGAGCGTCGAGCACGGGATTCGCGTTGAAAAAGTTGGAAGAAGTGATATTCGCAAGAGTGGTCTTTTCGCCGACGGCGAGAGAACAACTTCCGCAATTTCGACGACCTTGCGAGAACGATGTTGACGCAATCCTCTCCCTGATCCCTAAACTCCTCCTCTAACAATCGTCCATCCGGAAGGCGAGAACCACCTCGCGGAACTTTCCGACGGAAGTTCGTATAATTTCCTGAATGGCCACTCCAGTTCGTCTCCTTAATTTCCATAACTCATTTACCGGCCGTTCGGCAACCGAATCTTTGAAACTTCTTCGGAGACATAGCTTCACGGTTTCAGCTTGCTAGAGGGTTGATCCATGGTTTATTTTTTGGCTCGTCTTCGATGTTGAACGATAAAACTTTCTTTTGATTCGAATTTTGATTTAACCCTCTACGTAAGCTCGTAATAACTTTCAGTCACTCCTACTATTTTTGCCCGATTCGACTGAATTGTTTTTCGAGTTACTCCTAACATTTCCCCTCCAAAAATATAGCCCACGGTACTTCCAAGAAATACCACCCACAAATCAAGCTACAACGCTCTAAAGGAGTGGAGCTTTCTCGACCGAGTGACACTCGACTTTATGCTCACCGCGTGCTTTAAAGCTTGCCGAGAGGGATCATAAGTCACGGAATAATCTTAGAGCCAGCCCGAGCAGCAAAAGCTTAATGTAAATCCTCACCTGATGGCGTTGAAGATCTCGTGAAAGCCGGTTCCTTGGTGGCTGCTGACGTCGCAAGTGGGCAGAGGGTGCAGAAGGGGCAAACGATGACACAGCACGCTGTCGCTGTTCCTCTTGCTGCTTCCGTTGCTGTCCCTGTCCCTGTCGTTCTGCGGCAGTGGCCCGTTTCCGGTAGCGGGCGCGGGACCAAGCCCGAGACCCAGAGGAAGCCGCGGGAGGGTTGCTGGCCTCGTCAAGCTACCATAGGCTGCCAAAGCTCCTCTTGGAAGGGACGAGTAGCAGCGATTAAGGGGTAGCGTGCCAAGGGTGCTGGAGGCGCAGCCGCTGCTTCCTGAACCAGAGCCTGAACCTAAACGAGAATTTAAATATTGTTATTTCGCTGGTCCAGGTGGCCTTGGGATCCAGTGATCGGGGTCAAGGTTGTTTTTGGATCCAGGGACCAGGATTCAAGGTTGCCTCCGGGTGAATTAGGAGCTTGGAGATGGCCAAGCTTTCAATTAGAAAAGTTTGAAATGGATATTACTTGATAAAGATTGTTTTCATTGAAAGTTTCTAGCTAATATTAAATATTATTTGGAAGGCTGACACCATCTGATTCCAAGCACATCGAATGCAGAAGGAAGATCGATTCGTTTAAATATTGCTCGCCAATCTACCTCCTCCTTCCTTCAGTGATATCTCTGATTCAGAACAGTTCGTCCATCAGCAGTCGGCGACGCTGGATGGTATAAGGAAGACCCTAAGATTACGTGTGGCTGCATAAGCGGGAGCGACATTAGACTGCATTAGACGAGACACCCGTGAGCCCTTAAGCGCGTTCAGCCGAGTTTACTGGCCCGTAAAGCCTCCTCCGCGTAGAATTAATATAAACGAAGCGTACAAGCGAGAAAGGTAGCGTCGCCGGCATCCACGCTGCTAAGCGGCTCGTAAAATAACCGACAGACTCGGATGCCGGCAGGAAGCGGTTACGAAGGGAACTCTATTAAGAGCCTTCCTCCTCCTCGAACATCGCTGCATGATAATGACTTCAATGACGAGCAATCGAGCGGGTGAACGCACTGCTAAATAAAACCGCGTTACCAATAGAATCATTCCAAGATTCTCTATGGAACCCCTCTATGGAACTTCTTGACCCCATCTTTGTTTTATCGAGCTAACGTTTCTGGAATCCAAATAGTTAACACATTCGATACAAATTTACGATGTCCGGCTTCAGAATTGTATTGTTCTCGTCGGTGCTCGGTATCAGAAACGTAAAATATTTGTCGGTCGCGAATGTCAGAGCGCGAGGAATAACTAAACAAAGTTTCGTCGAGACGAAAGAAAATTAAAATTACAATTCCCACCGACGATTTTATGACATCCGCGCCGTCAGGCATCGAGGGCATGATACTAAATTCAGGATATAAGCCCGGAGAGTGAGCGAGCAGGGAAGTATTACTCGCGCGAGTAAATTTATGGGGTGTTTGTCTTCGCCGCGGGGGCGTTCGAAAAGCGCTAGTCGCAGAGGCAAGCTTTATCGAGCGTCGCATCGCGAGCGATCGACTTCAGAAATTCTCTCAGCCTCGACACCGCAGCGACTCGTAAACATTTTATGCTTTTCATTCGGGGCACGAGCAGATGCGTGACGCGCGCAACTTCTTCGCGATAAAGTTTTGTCGCTCGCCGTAATATAATCGGGACTCGCGCGACGACCCCGCGAAGTAACGCCCGGATCGTAAAAGACGCGCCTTGGCGCTTGTAAACGGGAGGACGCGTTCAAGAGCGTCTGCCGTCGTGGGCAGTTTGGGATAATTTATTCTAAATCGCACTGCGTTGCGTCGTCCTAGTCGCTCCGAGGCATTATTTGGGTAAGACTCTAAGATTGTGAATTGTGAACTATTAATTAAGGAACGGAGCAAGGAAGTTTCCTAGACGACAATAAAATTTTTACGAAGGACATGCTTCGCAAATTCCACAGATTCCACAGCAATCTTTCAAGAATATTCGCCAGCGACTCGATTAACGCCAGACTTGCGAAGCGTTCAAGTTCGAGTTGTAACAAAGGTCGGCGGGGTTTGAAATCGTGTCCGAGTCGTGGAAACGATAACCTCGTTACAGCCACGAGCATTTTCGAGGACTCCTGTCCCGCGATAGGTTTAATTCGGCGCTCGTTCCGGATCCGAGAGGAGTTAACAAACTCCTTTTTGAACGTGATCTCATAGAGACGGGCGTACGTGGCCGCCGCGCATTAACGAAAATTCGGCGTAGCGTGGCGCCGATGAGTTTCAAGCGGAATATTAATTCGCTCCGGGGAAACTCGTATGTTTTTGCGAATCGACCTGAGATTTCGTTTGATAAGACGACGAGTAATTTGATCGCGGCGTATGTTAAGCCAACAAAATTATTGAGAATTTCTACTAAGTCCCATAGATCCATACATCTTGTAAAAAGGAATATTGTTAACTAACTCTATCTCGGCACGATAAGGTATTCCTAGCCAAAGGATTATGTTCACCACAGAATAACTAAGCCTAACTTTTAATCTTCAGTTCCCTCAGCCAAAATTTCATTACATTCGTCGACGTTCCCTGACAAACTCATGGACAAACGTCCTATTAATATCCCTGTTGATTTTACGAGACGTCTAACGCAGCCTGGAACAGAGCGTCGTCGTCCTAGGTGGTTCGCGCCAGGAAATGAGACCCGTCGCCTGAGAGCTCCTGGTAGGAATTTCTGACTGTGGATTCTCGTTAAGGAAGTTCTGGAACGATTACTAACGAGAGAGAAACTAATAGCAGTCGAATGTAATAAGCAGCCGCGTCAAGCGCTGCTGGGATTATTTATCCTCAATGGTGAGTGGAATCGTGCAAGTCCCAGAAATGAAGGTAATACATCTTGTTGCTTCTTCGGTGGCTAATTGCGTATTAACGTGGTGTTACTCTCGGCGAATACGGTCCCTTGAGAAGTGGAAGTGACGATATCATTGCCAGCTACTTGTTGCTGGTCAGATATGACGTGTTATCATTGACGAGAAATTCAAGTGGCAATGTGCGAGACATTCCATTAAGGTCTTTGGGAATTAATTCCAAGGGAACCGATGGCAGTTCAGGTTTACCATTTCACGCGCTGTTTGCGCTGCACCTCGAGGAATAAGAAATTTATTTTTTAGTCTAATGTATGTGCGCACTAAAAATGGCACGGTGCTTGGTTGATCGAAAGGCCATTTTTAAAATTTTCGCTGGTTCAGCAGCGACCAGAGCTTTGAAAGTAAAGATATCGAAATTTCCTTGGAGGTGGTTCGTCCGTACTCGTTCTTCGTCGAAATGGAAATAGTCGCGTGCCTTTCACATTCGAATCGCAGGCGACAATGAACCAGCTGGTATCGACCTCGCTGTTTTTATCGCGTCGACGACGAATTTACGCTCGGTCCGCGGGTGCAACGGACAAAAACCATTTCCCGTTCTAAAGCGCGGTAATGGCCGTTTCCATCGGGCACGGTACATTGGACACGAACGTTCCGAGCCAGGTTTCATTCCAGGTCGAGTCTCCGAAGCACGATCGAGCCGAGTATTCATTTCTCCGGAGTTCGTTTAAACCCGCGTAAAGATTTATTATTGTTTCGGCCATTGGAGGCCATTGGAGGACGAGGGGAAGGAAACACCGAAGGAGGAGATCGCTAGGATCTTTTTCCAACAGCATCCGATAGGTATCTTTCTCACCGATCGTTTTTCAAACTTCTACCACTGACGATGAAAACACGTCGCTACTTTGGAAGAGAACTCAATTATTCTTATACTTATGCCTTCAATAAGTGATAGATACTAGCGTAGGTAGATCCTAGATAAATCGGATGGATACTATACTCCCTGTATTGATACGATGATTTTAATGTCAATTATTTACTCGATAATAAAATTATTTCTTGACAGTAAAATAAAGTGACATTTTTAAATGAACAAAATATACGTATACGAAATTACCTCGACAACTGCACGTGTTCAGATGATTCTACGTAGCTCAGAAGAAGATCGCTAGTCAGAAAACACCCAAAATTTAAACACTATACAGTAAAGGCCAACAGTACAAACCTAACATACACTCCTTCGATTCATCGAATCGTCAAATTTAAATGTCCCCACGATCCAGAGAGCTCCCCAGTTAATAATGCCTCGCCGTTACCACGAAAACGCAGCGTCTAGCGACAAATTGCCGATCGATCCGGTTACCACGGCATAAGCAAACAGCCAGTAACTCGAAGAACTTGAAGCACCTTGGTCGGAACTATTAACAGGCTCCCCGACACCGTCGAAGAACAACACCGACGCGTTTGCATCGCCTTGCCAGCGGCTCTCTACCTTACTCCCTCTCTCCCTTACTCTCGTTAATCGCGAACAAACGCGTTCAGCGATCCCGCGAAACTTCCCGAACGAAACTTCGCGTTATTAATGCCACGAGTTTGCCAAGTTCTCTGGCGAGTGATACGCGAACAGAGACAACCGCCGATGGGTCTTCTTTCGACGGATAGAATAGACGAAGTTGCTCGCGGACCTTTGACCCGGGCGCCATTTGTGACAAGGCTCGGTTCGACTGCTGAATTTTGGGGTGCTTTGGATAATTATTTTTCTGTTTCTTAGATTAAAGAATAATTATGTATATTCGTTGGTGAATTAAGAGATGTACGATTTAACACTTAACCTACTACGACCAGTCAAACGCCACCCTGTATCCGAATCCGTGATAATTTATTTAACTATGCCTGATCTGCACCGCCTTGAACAAAAAAATCAATTAATTTAGAGTACCCTTTAGCGAATGAATATTATTCCAACGTCTGTACATACGATGGAAGAGCAGCGAGTCGTAGAGAAAAGGAAAGAATCGTCCAATTCCCCGGAGGAATCGTCAAACCGAAAGATTTGATTTGTCTACCGCGCCATAGACTCGTCGTCGCTTCGAGAAAGATTGCTTTCGACGCGACCAGGTGAGAGAGAGGGTATCTTGAGGGACTTCCTCCAGCCCGTCAGAAGTAAACTCGATCCCGCTGTTATCCGTTTAAAGAAAATAGAGGAAAGTCGAAATTCTGATTCGCGCCAGTTCCTCCGGGAAAGTCGATGGCCCGAATCGAAGGAGACGAGAGGGGACCTTGAATCTTCCAAACGGTGGAACTCTCACCGAAAGTTCGGGTCGTTCAGGATCCCGTACGAACGTTAAACCTCGTTTTGAAAGTAGCGCTATAAAGTGTTCTACCAAAAACACAAACTGCGCAACGAGGCGGACAACGAGTTGTACAGTCTACGACCCTCTCGAGCGGAAAAACAGAAGAAGGAGGACGCTCGACGAAGTCCGCGTATATTTTTCTCATTTAGCGTAGGTACGAGTGCAGAATGAAAAGGAAAAAAAAAGAAGAGAGTTAAATGTGGAAGTAATGGAACCACCGTCCCGAGGAAGAGTGTTATCATTTCGGGAAAAGGTTTCTATTCTCAGGGGATGATGTATGTTAATTAATAAGTAGGGAAGAGGGAAACGAGGACGTTCAATGAAATAGGAAGGCGAGTGCTACTTTTTAAAGTGCAGAAGAGTTATGAAAGAAGATTTAAAAATAAAATCGTAATAAAGTACGAATTTCCATTTTGCGACATACCATACAATGCTTTACTGCACTTTCCTTTGGACTTCCACACTCTTCCTGCATCATTCCATTTATCGACTCGATCTCTACCCCTTTTGGTCACAGAATTATATGTCACAACATCGTGAACGAATCGTTGTGACAATAAAGGATTAAATGAATACGAACAAAACACGATCCCCTTATCCAAACGAGTCCACGACCCTCTCAGTCTAGAAAAAATAGAAAGAAGAGGATTCGCGACGAAGTCCGGGACAAACAGCGCCACTTTAAGCTCCCGGAGTCCCGCGAGCAAATCGATTGGCAATTTCGCAGAACTTGCTCGCCTCCACCCCCGAGCAAAGGTGAACAGGAAGTTCTCCGGCGCTCTTCGTTCGTCGAGGGAAGCCACGGAATTCTCGCGCGGGAAATTGACGACGAAGTTACCTCGGGTGTTTGTAATTGCCGGGGTTGCGAAGGAGCAACAACCACCCTTGGCCCTTGACGCGAGTACACGCGCGATGCTGTTTACCAACACTGCGAGCGACGATAACATCAACCGCGAGACGATCCACCGTTTGTCTAAGGCAACGAGACACCAGACCCTGGCGGACGTGGAGCGCTGGAGAAACAGGGGGTGGCTCTCTAGGGGTGGGTGTCATCGGGAAGACACGCGTGTGCGTGTTGTGCGAGGGTGTGTAGGGAGAGGAGAATTGGTTGGAACATTTTTTGTGGCCATGTAAGAGCCCAAGGAGGTGGAGAATCCTATAGTAGATTGAATTCTTGGTCAATGATGGTCAATCCCGAACAACCCCCCGATTTCAGTCTTTTTAAAATAATACATACAGTGCTTCTTATTACAGTTCTATATATGAAATGTGAACTAGACTACGTTAACAGTAAACCTATCACGATTGTAAAATTACAGCCAGTCCCATAAGTATTCGTACCTCCTATGTTAATTAAAGAAGTATGTCTAAATTATACGATGTCGTGTTTTCAAATAAATTTTTCATTGTAAATATATACGTGTGTAAAGTTTATCCATATACATGTTTATAATAAAACATTATATAATTTAGACAAATTTCTTCGATAGACATCGAGGGTACGAATAGTTATGGGACTGACTGTATATACGATTGTTTCATGTATTATTGAATTTAGTATCGTGTGAAATATTTTTGTAACCAATTGAATAATGTGTCTCTGAGACCGGTCATTCGATCGATCACGGTTGAAATAGGTATAAAGAAATGTTGGTAGGTTTAGTGTTAAAGAATCCTTGGTCTGCAACGTCTATTCCTGGATTTAGCGAGCACAGATCCACCCCTTAACGATATCCTCCCTTTAAGCATAGCTCTCTGATGCAACGGAACGTCAGAGTGTGTCGATTTCGGTGGCGTCCCTTTCAGCAAAGTCACTCATGCATGATCAGAGAGATCAGAGACTAGACAGAGGCCTGTGAGGTCTCAGAGGTCGAAAGAGCAGGGTGGCGAGAGGATCTCAAGGGGCTGTCGAGAGAGCAGGTTTGGACAAGGTCGTAACTAAGAGCCAGGAGGGTTGGCGGATGATTAATACGTTATTCGCGAGAGGAAATTCAGTTGGAAAGTGTCGTTTGCACGGAGGCCTGTGTATAAACCACCCTCGAGGAGCTTGTTCATCTTCCTCGAGGAGACAATCCGAAAACCGTGTTATCATCCCCTAGAAGATATCCTCATGATTTATTCCATCGAACATGGCCGTGATTTTTTCCTCTTTCGGTTCGCGTAAACAGCGAGGTCCTCGTAAAAGCTACGACCTTATCAGTGGGCCGTCGACGAATCGCGTGAATTCGAACAGGACTAGAGTCGATCGTAAAGTTTACTCGCTCGATTGGAGGTTTACGAGTGATTCGACGATTCACCGCAAGCCTTTCCACAATCTAAGGACTTTCTGCTGGCAATTCGTCCACGCGATCGATCGCGATTTGCATCGATAAAGTTTCCATCGCCTGGGGAGCAGCTCCCGCTGCCGCTGATTACCCGGGTCTAATCGAGTTGCAATTATCGTTCGGGAACTTGTTTTGCACCCTTGCCGTCCGGTGAGAGGATCCCAATTAAAAAGGCGCAAGCATTATTATTTGAAATAATAAACGTGGTACTTGCATTGTTCTGTGGGTGTGCAATGCAATTTCTTGGAGACGTAAAAATGGAATTAATTTGGGCGCTAATGCTTGGCTAATTTGGAAAGGGATTTTATGAGATTGTATTATTATTGTAGTATTATTAATTTACTAAATTATATGATATTGTTTCTACCTTCTCTGTCAGCCTACTTTTTCAACCTCCCCCCCCCCCCCACAAATACTTGTTCCATCCCCTCAAATTTATCGAGACTCTCCCAGTGCCTCTTCTCGCACGTATAAAACGGCGTTGAAACAAATCCCAACGCAAATTGGAGCACCGTCCGTGGGCATTCGTTGCCCAGGACAAACGACCGTATTAGACACCTCGCTCCTCGAGATTGCAGTCTTACTCACAGGAGGAAAACCCACTCGGTTTCATAAATTGAGAGTTCCTTCCCTTACGTGCAACCAGCGCGGCTTAAAGCTCGAAAGGGCCGAAGTTTCATTTCGAACTTCTGGGCTACGATTTGCGTGCCACAGGCTGCAAACGGTTCTAATTCCAACTTTCTAATTCCGCGGCCACGTCGAGCTAATGGGCCCGTGTACATGCTGCCGTGCTCGTTACGCGTTTACGTTCATGAATTGCGTGGCCTGTCGACGGCCTTCCCATCGAGATTTAGGTTTCGCTGATGATTAAAGTTAGCTGATTGGTAGGAAAAGTTGAGCTTTAATGGGAGGATATGATTGTGGTTTCTTCGTTAATCTGTTCACTGCCAGAGAAATTTGGAGCGTCTTGCTCTCTTATATGCCTATTATATTACTTTTAAATATAAGAGGCATCGTTATATTTTAAAAAATGAAGTTTAATTTATATCGTGCGATAGGACAGCGTAACTTGTAAGCATCAACGTAACGATATCGTTCTAGAAAATTATGAAACGTAAATATTCATCGCGAGTACAATTTACCCAGCCCTTTCAAAACGGTGCCACGTCGAGTCTTGAAACTACACCAAACTGTAACAAATACAGAGCTACGAAACTTGGCTACTACAAGCACACGAAGTTAACAATAGCTCACAGCAAAGCAGAGTTTATACCGGAAAACAGTTCGAGTGTCTTTCGCCTGTACTCAGGACTTATGTCTACTAGACACACTAATTCTTTGAATTAAACCAAGAGTATTACTCTGAAAACTCTAAAAAAATCTAAGAACACCTAATTCGCCAAGATTAAAACTTAGCAACACTAAGTTACCGCAGTTTCCAGTCTTCAGGATCAAAGTGCATCCGAATCGCGGTAAATCTAAACCGAAGGGGATCGGGCCATCGCACAAATTAACCTTAATGGCGTTCGATATCGAATCGCGTTAGCGAAGCGACGCGTATCGAAATTTAAAATTGTCCCTGCAGGATTTTTCAAATCAAACACTACCGGTTTAAATTACGGCTCGTTTAACCCCCTCCGCTGGATAATTAATTCGGCTCGTCTTGAGCCCCGGGGCTTCGTTAAGCTCACGCTCGCGATTTTATGCTTTGTTGATCCAGCGACCGACGAACCGTGCTTCGTCAACTTTAAGGGCCCATCCAAGCGATTCGAGGATCCGTGGATTATCTTGCGATATTACGGGCTAAATGGTACAATAGAGTTTCGCTCTTATTGGTAGAAAATAAAGGCACGATGGGGTTTCGAAATATTGCTGAGCATGGAAGGCAGTCTTTTTGAGGGGCTTGACAACGACTCGATTGGAAGAATAATTTCTCTAGCTAAAGCAAACTATGGAATATATCTAATTATTGCTTGGACAAGCACGATTCACTTTCTCACGAATAAATATCATCTGTCAAATGTTAAAAGAGTTGGTGCTTTGCGATAGGGAAGCGTTTTGATCAAGACAGATTTGGTCAAGTCTTGGTTAATCTGCTGAGTCTCGGTCAGTCTTCGTCGGACGTTTCTTTCCCAAATGAGACGACCCTGAAGATACGAAGCGTGCTTGTCCAAGAAAGTGTAAAGTCAAGGTTTTACCCATACTGATTCCAGAGCTGGAGGGATCCTCGTTCTTGGTGCCCCAGCTCCCAGCGAGATTCAGGGCGAGCAGCGGCCTCTCCTTCAGCAGTTCGGCGACGGATGCCAGGCCCTCGCATCCGCATCCCAAATGGGGCAAGTGCAGAGCCTGCACTTGAACGCAGCCACGAAGAGCATCGCACACCCTGGACACTTGCTCGCCGGACAGATTCATGTCGAGGACCAGTCGTGCCAAGCTGCTCGACGCGTGGCTCAGCCCTCGGCACAGGGCGTTCACCACGCACTCCAGCCTGAAACAGCGGATCGATGGTCCGCGTTCGTTACAAATGCTTACATTGTTGCGCGCGACGTGTCGATAATTTCACGCGAACGAGTACGTTCGAGGCGAAATTCGAACGGAATCACCGGTTGCTCCGCTTAATCCGATTGCTACGTTGGATCTGTTCAACGCGCGATGATTTCGGATTGTTATGGTGGGACGATGCTCGGGCAGGTAGAGAGGGCTATGAAAGGGGTGGGACCAAGGACGAGTGATAGTAAGAACGGTTTCCAGGCCTGGGAATTCTTCTGAGTAAATTGAACGTGATATTCAGTTGTGTTTGTGGTGGATGGATCGACGCTCGGGTCAAGTTTTCTGGAATAATTGAACACAAACAGTTGAGAATTGCGATGAAATGACCTCTGAGATAAATAATTTATTATTCAAAGGCCAAAAGAATTGTCTCGTTTAATAGTGTTAATTTTTATTATTCAGGAAAATTATTAATAAATAAGTTCTGGCTATACCAAGCGCTTTGACATTTAAATTTAAGTGTCGAAGCAAAGTATTCAAAAAGCGGTGTTAATCGATTTGTGCTGTAAACGGCTCATACGAAGAATCCCTTCCTTTCTTTTTCTGACGTGTCCCGTTTCTGTACAAAAGGTTCTCGAATAAATAAATAAATGAATACACATCCACGTCAACCGATCAAGTCGCGACTGCATGTCAGCATTTCGAATTCAGCCGGTGTCGCGATGCGGGCCACCCTTTAACGGGAGATCAGCTATGAAGTAGATTTATATCTCGGCGAACAAACGAGAAACGTTGACCCGACAGAATTTCGAAAGATCTTTCATCCACGAGAGGCGACGACCTACTGACCCCGCGTGTCTAGGTCGCCCCTGTCAAACTTGTTCCTATTGATCCGCGAACGGCGGCCACATTTTCAGCTTCTTCGTCGGCATTTCGCGACCGCTGCAGTTCTCCGTATCGGTAGCAGTGTGTCAAGCAGCTACTGACGAGGGTAACTGCGACGCTTGCGAAACGTTGGCAGGAAAACTGCAACGCTTCCTTAACTTTCCGAGGCCGTGGGCTGCATGCATGCGCTAATGATGCAAATCGGGCAACAATGCACTTTTGGTACGGTTCCTTTACTTCCTCTCCCTCCCCCCCCCCACGGCCCCTCCCTCCGTCCTTCTAACGAGCTCTATAAAGAAGTTCTCGTTTAGCGGAAACACTTAAGACTGTGAAACGAGAAGTCTTTCTTCTTAAATGTTCACGAAGAAATGCGTACGTATTCCGTTATACGCGAGACGACTCGAATTCATTCACTGCCGGGCAAATTCAAAGCGTTATGTCTTGGGCGCCAAAATTTAATACAGATAATCGGAACTTCTTATACTTTTAATAACTTTCCTGAATAATAAAGATTAAATCCTTTAATAATAAAAGATTAAAGCCTTTGAATAATAAATTATTCATCTCAGAGGTCGTTTCATCGTATTTCTCAGTTTTTTGTTTCGTTAATCTTGAACGGAGTACGTGAACTTCTCCCCTCCGAACTTCTTTGTGTCGTCTGAAAAATTGGAAGAAGCATCCTTGGGACACCCCTTGAAACCCATGTAAATTCATTCCAAGAAGGGATGGAGATTCCCTCGGTAGATTTATGCATGTATAATGTTCACTTCGCTGTCTATTCGCTATTATTTCGAGCGGCAGCCGCGCATACGCGTGCAACGGTTGTTATGCAAAACCGAGCGCCAGTCGCTTCTCCTCTGAGAATTGCAAACGAGTGTCTGGATTTCCACCGACGTTACACGTCCGTCGAGGAGCACCCCCGGCTGGATTTTTACGAGCGACGATAAGCGTCGCGACGGGTCAAAAAGAAATTTTTATCGCGCACTCCGGTAGATATCAAAACGTCAACCGTGGAAACAACGAAAAAAAACTTTACATATCTTCGGAATTGAAAGTAGCCGGGGGTATCGTGTTTTCGAAGTTAATTGAAGCTGCGAGTATTCGCGTATCGTTTTTATCTCACAAATAAACAACAAATGAATCTGTTATCCCGTAACGGTGCGTGTAATTAAAAATAAGGGGGATATTCGTCTCGAGTATGGTTTTAGTGCGGGTGTAATGTCAGGTAAGCCTGATTTCCATCGGGCCAGAAAGTATACGCGTAGAGATCAAGAGCGGGCGTCTGACCAAGCATGTCCACTACCACTTGGCGCAAAGAAAATAATGTTAATGCTTCGTTTCGATCATAGAGATGCGTGAAATAACTGTGTGCTTCATTTTTGACGTCAATTTTCATCTACCAACGCGAGGAAAAGCTTACGTGAGAATATAAAGTATCCGTCTGACCAATTACGTCCATTATCACTTGCACAAGAGAAAGAACAGAAGTGTTTAATTTCCACGAGTTCTCCATTGCAACTTTTTACATTAAATGATATAGATATTCACGAGTGTCTACTTTCTAACGCGACGAAATGCCTGCATAAAAGTATCAAGTCTCCGTCTGATCCATTACATTCACCACAGCTTGCCCAAAGGGTACAACATCCTCAAACACATAACTCCAACAAACCTTCCCCTCTCTTTTTTACAGTTGCACGTGTGTCGGAGCATGAACGATCGGAGTGCCCAGTTTTTGAGACCGATTTTCATTTTTCAACACAACGAGGAGCGTACATATGAATATCGAGCACGCGTCTGACCAAGCACGGCCGCTATCACTTGCACGCACAGGCCAGTGGAAGTATTCTGTCACCTGTCAGTCACCGTCCCCCGCGTATGACGCGATCAATCTCTAGCAGGATTTTATGAAACCCAGACCCCCTTCGTCAACGTCACCGGTTCTGCCCGATTACTACAGAATCCAAGTTCAGAGCACTCGCGTTCAGGTTGCATCTACGTAGCTTTTAATATCCGAGAAAAACGAGCTTCCTCAATTTTCCTTGTGCCGTCCACGTTCGGCCTCCATTAAATTAAAAAATGTAGCCACTACGAGAGAATATGAAATTTTACAGAGCAAGCGTAGCAGTTTGATTAACGTAACTATTAACTAGGGTAGATACTTAAGTCGAGATAGTAGAATAAGGAAGCCCGTACTGTAGCACCTTGATAAACCCTACACGCATCTCGGGGTAGTTAGAAGTGTTTGTTCGAAAGTATCGCGGTCACGCTTCGCCCTGGAAAACCTTTCCACGCGTAAGTTCGTTATAAAACTTTCCCCATCCCTCGAGAGGTATCCCCTTTCTTGCGAGCAGTATTCTGCATAACCCTGCGAGGCATTCTTATTATTTAAACGATGCATTAGCATGGCTCGTAACGGGGCGTCTGCCAAGAAGGAAACTCATGTCTGGGAGAACAATAATTTATCGCGGCGAGTTGCAATGTAGCTGTTACGCGAATTAGCCAGAAACGGGGGCGAAGAAGATTAAAAAAAACCGAGTAGTTGGACTTTAAATTAAATTGCATCCGTGAATCGGTGTTCTTTGAGACTGAAACGGCGTCAAACGGCCCCCAGAGAGTTTCGTGAGAGAAAAAATTATTAATCGTTCCGCGAGCGGCGAATTCTCGGAAAGTTCGAAAAGTTTGAAAGAACGTAGACAAAGGCGCAGCAGGGAAGAGGCGTCTCGAGAGAAACAAGTCGCGAAGAGGGGAGAAAAGAAGCGAAAGACGGAAGGAAGGAAGTCGAAAGAAGGTCTGGATACGAGGAAAAGTGGGAGAGCGGATCTGGACCAACGTTCAGCTGCGAAAACCACCCCCGCCCGAGCGATCTACTTAATTTTTCGCCACGGGCCACGACGCTGGCCCTTCACGACCCTCGAATGCCCTCTCTGGAAAAAAAGCCTGGCCACCCTCCCATTCTTCCGCGGCATATTGTTGCACCACTTTCTCCGCTTTTTTCTCCGCCGCGATCCAACCCCTCTTGGCGGTCGCTCATTGTTAAACCGCTCTCGCTGCCGCGTTTGCTGAGGGGTGTGTTCGCTGGCGCGGGCCGACCCGTGCTTTGAATATCGAATCCTGGCCTTTTCGACGCGGGACCACGCGCGAAAAACCTTTCCGATATATATATATATGTGTGTGTGTGTATTTTTTTGAGACTCCAGTGGGGTATAGTGTGGCCCCTGAGGGCTCTCGAGACACGAGGAGACGGAATAGAACATTTCTGGGAAAGCTATCTTCTTTCGGGGTGGAAATGTTGGTCCAGAAATAAGGTCTGGTCAGCTGGGGGATTGCTTGGGATGTTCGAGATCTTATTGAGTTCATAATCTTGTGTGGGAACCATAAATCTTACTTTGTTTAGTATTTTCATGGGGAGTGTAAGGGTGGAATACTTTCTTTTCTCGAGCACGTGTGCTAATATTCGCCAAGCTTCGACCACATGTGCCAAACTTGTAAAGACTACATCACAAACCATTTATATAATTTTCTGAAATGACAATAAACTAACTGTAGAATAATATACTAACGTACCCAATAACGTAAACAAATTATAATTTCCCGTGAAAGGACTTCCATGTTCATTCAACATTGCTCGTCAGCGGATGTGCAAGCAAGTGTTTAAGTTGTTTGTAAATCCTGTGGTATTACTCGCGAACTATAGCACCGTCGAGAGGAAAACTCTGTTGTTTCCTCTATGTTCCTCATGAGAGATGTATCAAACCTCAGGCAAGTCAACAAACAACGTTTCCTTCGACATCATTTGCAATTTGAACGTTACTTTCCGCTTCGACGGATAAACGACCCTCCACCGGGCGCCCGGCGTCTTTTTGCGCCGAGTAAACGTCGCTCGCAGAATAAATAAATAAACTTTCCCAGGGATAAGGGAGGGTAGGAGCGACGCGCAATTTTCATTTTGGTTTCACCGCGGCGGTGCACTTTAAAACTTTGTCCCCCGTTAATATTCAAACCTACGAAAATCTGCTTACAGTCTCCCTTACCACTGGGGAGGGGCAATAACGAGGAATAAAATGATCAACAAGCGGTAAACTTTCCCATCGAGTTTTCCGCGCCTTTCGGTGTTTTGATAAAGTTTTCCCTTCTACTTAATGGCCGGCGAATTAAAGGAAAATAAAAGTTCAAAGAAATGAAGTCTCCTTTGGGGATTAATTCCGAGCTAATTCTCCTTTTGATGTATTCGGAATATGCATCCTTACTCGTTGTATATTTATGTAGACCGCGTATATGCGATGCAAATTTTAATAATCTACAACAAGAAAGTGCGAGGTAAAATACGAGGTATTACATGGTCTCTAATTAAATTTGCACATTTCTAATCGGGCAAGGTGTGCAAGACAAATGTTTTTCTTAGTCTTTATAGAACAGATGAGCCGTTCACCGCACAAATCGATTAACTCCACTTTTTGAAAAATCTTTAATTTAAGTGTCGAAGCACTTGGTATAGCCATAACTCTTTATATTAAATATTTAATCGATTTGTGTAGTGAACGGCTCACATAAGACTTTCTGTAAAAGTAAAAATCAGGATTTGCGTTAATTTCCTCGGAATGAATTCCCAAAGGCAGGTTTACTTTTGAGGGCGATTGCTTGTACCCCTTAAACCGATTTAGAATTTTCCTTATTCGATTCGAAGGGATTAAAAATATCCCTGGGAGTTTTACATATCGTGCCATTAATAGAGGAGAATGTTCAGGAATTATCGTTGCGGGTGCACGCAATTGGCCCCGAGGTTTCGATTTCCTGCGGAGCGAGCCTGCACCAGTTCCCCTGATCTAAAAAAAGGAAATGCTGGAAACCAGAGCTCCTGACACAGCCAATATAAGCGCGCACACAAGAAACCAGGGCGGTTATGCAAATGGGGCCTTCGAGCACCGTCGCATCCCGTGCTTGCGTTCCTGCTCCTCTCGCAGAGTAAACACGCTCCTTTTTTTTTCATTCCTCCGTTCCGTGCACCAGGCAAATGTCTCCTTTGCTGTCGCACGAGAGCAAACTAAACTCGTTAATTTACTATCTGACCTGTCCCAACACGCTCCGCAAAAGAAACCGTCCCTGGGGGTCGAACGTCCTGCGTACGGTGTCCTCCAGGACGTTCCAAACATGGCTGCCGAGGGAGGCTACAGCAAACCTTCAGTTTTTTTTATTTTTTACGAAGGTCTCTTTAAGTTAGAAACGACTTTATAAATGGAAAGATTTATGAATTCTTCATACACTTCTTCATTTATTCATCCCTTGTAAACGTAGAAGCTTTCCATAAATGCTCATGAATTTTCGAATTTACGATGAAATTTTGATTTGATTATAGAATTTTAAGCTTCTGAATTTGTAAAATTTGTAGAATCAAAGATACACAAGGTTATGCATTTATAATCTTTGCAACAAGAAAATTTCGTATGCCGCAATTTAAGAACTTCAATGAAAACGTGTACGAACGAATTATGAATTCAGGAAACCGCGTACACCTACGCAAAGTCCACGCATTTATAAAAGATGTACACGGTCCATAAAAAAAAGTTGGGCACTTATGAGTATTTGCGTAAGTCTCCCGGAAGCCAATAAATTTAAATAAAATTCCAGGTTACCCGCGAGTTTAAAAAAAGAACAAAAATACCAAAGTTGCTAGATGAAACCTCGTTAACCCGGAGAGGGGAGGCGATTAGCTCTGTCCGAAACGTCGAATAACTTTCCCCAGCCGTTTTATGGTAACGAGTCTTCCCAAGTTCTGACGATCGTAATTAATAAGTTCCAAAGTTTATCCCTTTACTTTGGAAACATTGTATCTGTATTCGACGTCGCTCGGACGAGCCGGCTTCTGGCCAAGTTAAAAATTGATCTATTTGCATGTCCGTGTGCACGCGTACTCCGCGCGTTTTCTACCCAGGGGCAAACTTTTTTAATCCACTTTCCGATATTGCCCCGACGTCCGGCGCAGACGGTCCAAGGGATTTCAACCCCCCCCCCCCCCCCCCCGTCAGCTTAACGAGCGTTTCACTTTGACCGCCTCTCGAAAACTTCCAGACGACCTAATGTTATTGCGTCCACCGTTGGGCTTCGCCACAGAAACGATACCGTGGCTCGCGTTATTTTAAGCTCTCACATAATGGCGAAGCCTGCGCCTACCGCTGGGATCGTCCCAGCAATTTCACCTCTCCAGCCGTGAACCGAACGTGTCAAGGGCACTCCGAGATTTTCGCGTGTTTTCCCAGGGATTCGCAGGGGGAAGCAATAACGACGAGTATCGGGGAAAACTTTTCGGTCTCCTCGCTTGTCGTCCCCCGTGTCCGAGCAAACACAGCGGGTGAGGCGCGCGAAATGAGTTTTTAGGTGTATGAAAAGCACCGCGGGGATGATATAAAGTCGCTAGGGGGGAGGGATGATGTCTCTATCTTTTTCTCTTCTTGACGGAAACGATTGGACCGTGAATGTTTGATGTTTTAATTGCGGAGGAGCTTTGAATGATGACTTTTGGAAACTAAAGGAAACATTGAACTCGATATGTTAATACTGCTGTGACATCGTCCACAACTTCGAGGGTAGTTCGCACCCCTTGGTTACATCTAATAGCATAATATAAACGAATCACTCGTACCGGTCGTGAGCAGATTCCTCCAAACAAGTAATGACCAGCTCGAAGTCGTTGAGCTTCTTCTTCCCTAGCACGCTCTTCAGGTGTCCAGCCATCCTCTGCGCCTCGTCCGCAGGGAACTCTTGTCCCAGAAGGGAGGTGATCCTCACCAGCTTGACGCTCTCGTTCCCAGCCAAAGCTTCGAAGAAGTCGTCGAGGTATCTGGGATCTGAGCCCCTCTCCACCTGGAACACCACTTCGAGGGCTTCCAGAGTGCACGCTGGGCTCTCGAGGATTCTCGCCCAGCCCTCCAGTTCCAAGGGTGAGGTGTGAACCAGTGGTGCTGGGGGTCTCTCGTTCGGCGCTGGCCCAAATCCTGGACCAGCGCCAACTAGCCTGCACACTGCGGATATATTTCCGTCAGAGGCGCCTGCTGCCTTCAGCAACGAAAACACGGTTCTGGGTGGGACCTCCAGGGGACAGAGTTGGTTCAGAATTAAATGCGTCTTTGGCCCCAGCAGGCCAGCCAGGTGGCTGATGATGCCTGACGGCAGGCCCTCGAGTTCTCTTCGCAAGATGTTGGCGTACTGAGCCACGGATGTCAGATAGTAAGCCGCCAGGAACTCCGCCACAGCGGTGTGGACGGGGGTGTAGAGATCTGGCTTTCGTCTCTGTCCAAACGTCAACCCCTTGGTCAAGAAGCCCAACCTGGTGACCTCGATGCCGCCACCGCGAGCCCTTAATTCCGCCTCCGTGTAGCAGCATCTGCCCTCCCTCAGAGCGGCCAGCGACAGCTTTCCAAAGTCCTCCAATCGCTTCCTACAGTGGCCTGGGATCTCCTCGTTATAGGGGACTGGCGGGTCCAAGCTTCTTTTTACGATGCACTTCACCGCGGCTTGGACCAGCGCGCTGGTCTCCGTTGGCAGGCTCCCCGAGTCCTGGGAAACAAGGAGTCGGACCAAACGATTCATCAAGTCGTTAGCAAATAAGGTTAACCCTATGCACTCCGAATTATATTACCAAGAACGAAACAAAATTCACTTAAAGACCAATTTTACTCTCGCTTTTGTTAAACTTTGTCATTTTTAAGCGTACCATATCTCTTGAAACAATTTCCTTCCCTATCGATTTCGACATAAAAGAATGTCGAGTCACACTCGACATAGGGATGCAAAGGGTTAACGATGGTACAAATTCAATTTTCTAGAGGAACTAATTTCCTGACACCCCAGAGAAATTTTTTTCAAGAAACTACCACGAATTATAATAATTTCTAACTTGATTCTATAACCCGCTTTATCAAACCCCCTATTTCTCCTCGGATAGCTCTCTAAATACCTGATAGAGACAGCAAAGCATGATCCAGCCCAGGGGATGCTGACCCAGCTGCTTAACTGTTTGTGGCTGAACGTTCAGCGCCTCGAGGAACTCGCAGGCTTTCTCAGCGATGTCGTTGTGGATGAAATAGGCGACGCAGAGCCTCTCCACGTGGGGCCACTCGAGCCCAGCGAGGTGGATCCTCCTCTGAACGAGGGGCGACAAGGCGGTCGAGTTGCTAGGAGAACAAGTCACCAGAATCCTTGCATCAGGGAAAAGTCGCCCTTCGAGGAGGTCCAGGGCGTCGCCCAGGGACGCCCTGCCGCCCACGCACTCGTCGTAGCCGTCTAGGACGAAGAGGATGCGGTCCTCCATCAGATGCAGCGTGCGCCATACTTGAGCCACGGCGTCTCCAATGGCGGCTGTTCTTGGGAAGAGCTCTCGAGCCAAATAATTCAACACGGGGCTTCCTCGAAGCTCGCGGAGAGGAACGATGAGGGCCAGGGCAGGACCGTCGCCCTGGCTAGCCCATTGGTGGAGCAGACGAAGGCACAGGGTCGTTCTTCCGCTTCCTGGACCGCCCTCGACCGCCACGCGACGTGGGGCCTCGGACACCGTGCCATCGCTCAACTGAAATGAGAGGAAACGATTTGGTTAGTATGTAAATCTACGAAATATTGGAAATTGTAGGATTTATTTGAAGATGGAGGGTTGGTTAACTTTCGAGAGTCGACTTAGTGTGTAACATGTACTTTGACGAGTATTTTGGATTTCAAATGGAATTGGGATTGATGACATTGGATCTTCTGACCTGGAAGACCGTATTCGATAAATAATCTCGACTGTATTCAGTTGATAATGTAGTCTACTCTATTGACAACGTAGTGCATCGTGTCGGTAATGCATGGTAATGTAGTGCATTCTGCAGACAATGCAGTGCACTCTATAGCCCTCTAGATTCATTCACAGTGTCCTACATTCCCAACACAAGGCTTTATCTTATCACAAGAGTGTGCCACGTTAACTCTGAGCATTAGAAATCGATGTACCGATACATTAGCGTAACAGTGAGATCTCGGGGTGGAAGAAACGGGTGTTTCGTCGAACTGGGATTAGTGGTTCACACGGGAGGTACGAAGTTCTAATTGGTAGCCAGCAAGGGATCAGGAAACCGAGAAGTATCCGAGAAGCTGGTCACGAAGTCGGCTAACTCTTCTTCTTATTGCTAGTCTGGTTGTCCATCCCCGAGGAACGAGCTTCCCGTACACGGCGGAACTTGCTCGTAATTCAGCGTACCATCCTCCTAGCGTTCTTTCCTTGGGATTCCAAGGACACGACGCGCGGGATTCGTTAAGGAATAACAAAATAATCAAGCCAGAGAACGAGAAGCCTCTTTTTACTCCGCCTAGAGTATCCGCTGTAATCGATGCGTGGCAATTAACGGCTAGAAAACGATGGCCGTGATCTCCGCGCCTCTCGTTCGCTCGACACCGTTTTCGAGCTTCGCTAACGAGACTTCGCGACTTTTAATTGCCACAGCGGGCACGATTTTCGGGTTCGTCGGCTCGCGTAACGAATAAAGTGGAAGGAGGCGAGGCGGGGGTCGGAAACGAGAATGGAAGAACCTGCCAGAAAAATTCCCCCGCTGAACGACGCCGCGTGGAAGCCCGCGCTCTCCCGCCCATTTCGCTTTCATCCACGGGGATTTAATCAGTGCCCGGCGAAATTGTTTTTTTGTTTTCTTTCTTTCTCTTTATTCGAATAACGCTTTGTGCGCCGACACGCGTACGTCCATTGTTCGACGAAATTTACTACGCGTCGGCTGTGAAGTTCGAACAATAAACCTGGGAGAAAATGGTTTCGTTTGGCGGTGCACAACGACCGCAGAGACCGTCGGACGATCGATCCTATGTTGCAACGAATGCGATACGACGGCGGGGCGTCGCGACGATGCGTCTTGCTTACGGAGCAGATTAACGCGGACAGAGTCGCGTGGCTCGAGTTCCGCTCGTCTCGCGTGGATTACGATTATCGACCGTGACGTACCGATTGTTTGCCAATACCGGCCGGATCGTCCGTCGCGGCTTACGAGCTCGTTAACGATGTTGGCCGTACGTGATCCTCTCGGATAAGACTCTCCGAGGAGCTACGTCAAGGTAGGGGACTTGTTTGCAAAAATAAATAGGCTTAGTGTCAGGCCAGTTGCGAGTAGATGGGTTACTTCGAAGGCTTGGACAGTGGTGAATCACTTGTATCGTAAGGGGATCGACACGGGGTTCGTTACGGCTTGGAAAACTGGTTTTTGTGCTCGGGGAAATGCTGGTGTTTGTGCACCTTGATTGCTTTACGTGGATAATGTAGGGCACTCGGTTGATAAGACAGACATTTTCAAAACTCCAAGGGTGTACCAAATTCCGAAACTCGATTTTACGAATTCAATTCCACGTTATGTTTATCCACGGGCAAGACTTTTGCAGCGACCCAGAATTATCGTAGTCGTAATCTGAGTAAGCCCCCCATTATAAAGGGATCTGTGGACCCAGAGCTCCGCTACACCGCAGGAGACTAGGTCTGTGATCCATTGCCGCCGTGATCCTGGACCCTTTACGGTCTATTACTTATCCTTGCACTCCCTCTATCCCCATCAGATACAACTGTTTCGTCCCCCGGTATACTATTACCTCTGCTCCCTAAGACCTCCTACGGTCTAATTCTTCTACCAGTCTGCTATTTCGCTGACCTTGACAGCTACCGAAATCTATGATTTCGAGCCTTCGATCTCTCACTACTTAGTCAGGCTGCAATCCCAGGTTTCCCGGAGTCAATGATAGGTGTGCAGGCTTACCCTATGATTCCGAGGCCTGTAGACTCTATGCTTTAGCCGGCTCAGTCAATCAAAGTGTCCTTATCACAGTGATCCTATGACTTCGAGCCAGAGCTATTCAAGCTCTTCCCTAATCGCAGAGGATTCTCGACTTCTCGATTCCCCGTTGCTTCAGCCTACCGACGCCGTGACATCCCGGCGTGTTCTATGTGCGTGCCAACGCTGCCCCAATTTTCCTATCCCTTGTACTGGCTCCGCGGCAGTTTCCGTTTCAATGCAAACCATATCAGTCTCAATTACACCGAATCAGATGCTTCGTCCTGTTAACACGCTGCTGACTGATTACACGACGATACGTATCGCGCGGCGCTGCTAACAATGCGTGTAATCCTCGCGTAGAATTGAATTCTGGGATGGGTTAAACGCGAACAATCTGGGTTTTTGTAAGTCGACGATTCGAATATAAGTCCATAGAGATGAAACGTTCGGGGAAACGGTCCCGAGTATTCCTCGTAGGCGAATACCTGCGAGCCGTTTTCCTTTTCTACGCGCAAAACATAAATCCATGGAGCGAGCAACACAGGCGACGATCCGTGCGATGGATCGTAAGCTCGTTATAGGATAAGCTCCATTCACGCCAGCGCGACACACGCGGATCTATCTATCGATCCCTCTCATTGTTCGCGCGAAACGTCGACAACGTTTGTTCCAGTCCCTCTTAACCGCGCTGAATCCCTATTCCAAAGGCAATGGTGGTCGGAGAATATTTTGCGAAAATGGCATCCGTTTCTTACGACTAAATACGTCGTAAAAGGAGCTGGGTATAAAAGACGCCCTCGATGGGGGAAACCCGGGAAACGCGCGCCCGTTCCTTCTTTCGAATAATCTTGAGGCGACTCGGGGTACAATGAGACGAACGTCGATTCGAGAAAACCCCATTCTCTTGAGCTTTACGGAGAGGGGATGGAGGAGATATTCTTTTATTAGCTCGTTTTAGTCCGAAAATGGCCTGTTTAGTGAGCAAATGAGGGATGCTTGCAAGAAAAGGAAAGCTTTCTTGAAACATTGATGAGGGGCTGGAAAATTCATTGTTGACAGATTTTTCGTGTTCAAAGGAATTACTAATCTTGGTTGAAGGAATTCTTGGTCCAAGCATGAAACAGTTGAAGAGCTCAAGGCATTGTTAAAAGTAAGGGCTTCTTCTCAACGAAAGGGTGACCCAAAAAGAAATAGTACCGAGTATATTCGTCCCAAGACCTCTCTGAAATTGTTACTTTTATACCAAAATAAAACGTCCTTGGTTAAAGGACTACGTTTCTTCTCAAAAAGAAGTGAACTCTTGTTTCTCTCAATTCCCATAGCGAAAGGGAGGTACGAAAATAAACAATCCTCCTCCATCTTCCAACTCGAAGTGCATTCACTGTCCCTGAATATACTCATCACCTCCAACTACGAAGCATCCCAGTTGCATTCATCCATAAACAAGGGACGCCTCGAACAACTAACCAACGATGGAATCTCATCGACGCCGTGCGTCCATTAAATCGGCTGGAAGGCTCCCGGTATCGATGCATCATATTTACCCAGCGTCTCCGACTACGTGTCGGTAAATATAGCTCCAAACAGCCCGTAATGGCCCTTCCTTCCACGAGGAGCGAGACAACAGGTGAAAGGCGGATCGAACAATGTCCGCGTTTCGGTCGACGAGCTCGTCCAAGAAGCCGTGAGCTCTCGCGGGGAGGACGCCCGGCGTCGTCGTTCGTGTGCACGCCGTTCACGGAAGTGTCTGCGCCTCGACGAGAGCCAGAAGACAAAGAAATCGCTTCCAGTTGGCCAGATCGGAGAGCACTCGTGGGTGCATTCGTCCCGCCAGCTGGGAAAATGGAAATAATACGCGAGAGGCGAGAACCTCGACGCCGGGGGTGCGTCGCTGAGTTGGAAAAGCACCTAGCGCCGGGGGTCGTCGAAGACGTCGCGGTTCGGTCTACATGCTGTCGTACTACACCCTATAATTTTGCACTGTATCGTTGTCTGACGAATATAGAATATAGAAGGGGGTGATTCAATCGACTTACACTTCTATAAAAATATATTTATCGAATTGATTGCTCGGGAGAGCTCTGGGAAATTGTTAGGTACCTTAACCAAGCTGTACATTTCGAAAATAAAATACGTTGCAAGTTTCGAAATTTTCCTGTTACCCAGTTTCCCAACGTGAATAGTGCTACGATGAAATTTATCGAATTTCTTCGAACATTGAATTTTTGAGGGAACTTTTTCGACGAAAAAAATTCAACAGAACGAACTCGTGCGTAAAAAACTATCCGCGTTCGAAAGGAAATATTAGTCTTTAATTTCGGATAGTGGAAAGCTATTAAAATTTCGATCAACGATCGAAACTCGATCTTTGGACGGTGGCGAATTTTTAGCTTTAACTTTGATATTTTTTTCGGGAAGTATGGACTTTTCGAAGCTGGAAAATTCTTAATTCTTCCAGAAAAAATATTCGAAGGTGGAACAATATTACTATTCTCATTGGAAAGCTGAGGTTTTTTTTTACGCGGAAGTTACCTTTAAAAAAAACGTTATTTAATTAAAAAACTTTCCCAACGTAATATAAGAAGATTACTTCGTCGAACAATGTTTCACGTCGCGCGTAAACTGTTGAATTTACGAAAAGGTACCTTACAACCTTTCTCATAGAAAATTTTCTGATCTTCATTTTTATCCCTAACCATTTTTGCAGTAAACACCGTAGTTGTCGAAGTATCTGGGAAAAACTGACTCTATGCACCTGTTGGGATAA